CTGGAAAAGTTCAGTCCTTTTTGTCTACAGCGTCCAAAAAGGGAAACTTGTATATAGATTTATTACGCAAAAAAAAATGCAACACTTCTTAAGTCTTATTTACTTGTAGTGCTGGATTTTTGTGGCTTTCAGATTATGGAAATCCTTGAAAAAATGTGATATTTGAAAGGCATGGTGTTATTACTTCATCGGCTAATTGACTCAAAACACATGCAAAGTTTGTGAGCCTCTAAGTGGTGTTGGTCAGTGGGCGACACATCCAGGGGAAGACTGCTGATTGGACAAATGTCCAGAAGATGGGAAGTGACATCCTCCAGTGGGAGGGGAAGCATAGAAAGGTATCTGCTTCTGTAATACTGTGTTCAGACTTTTATTTAACTCCACAATGATAGAAAGTTTAGTGGAAGGAAAATAGGATCCAGCAACAGGGATAATCACAGCCTTATAGGAGGTCTTTCAAGCTAAATGCATTTGGATTAGCTTCGCAGCAGCTGGATGGAGGCTGGCCTTGGTGCTTCAGGCGCCCAGCACATGTTCTATAAGCACCTCACCAAATCAGCTGGGCCATCAGCGGTCCATTCCACCGTTCACCAGGAAATTTTAGAGCATTTCCTGGTGAAATAAACCCCAACAAGAATCTATGAAGTTATGGAAAAAGGAAGATGAGAGACACCAGAACCAACACTGTAGATGACCTGAAGGTTACAAAGCTACCTGGGCCTCAATTACACTAGCAGAACCTAATGCTGATCACTTCTATGCACTTCTCTTTGATTCAACCATGTATTGATTACATAGAAGAAAATACAAATCGTTTTTACTGTGTAATAAGTCTATATTCTATAGGTTTCACTTTCGTTTATCTGCTAAATTATTATTTTTGTAGGCAAACATGAGATCAATCTGCTTTGAATGGCAGCTAAACTAAACGGCATGGTACCATGGACCGATGTTTCTGTCTCTAAACATGAAGAACCCTCTGAACTGTCCCATCCAGGTGTTTCTTCCGTTAATGATCGCAGCTCACCTGTAATGTACCTGATTTTTCAGGCTGCCCTCAGGCCGACAGATGTGGTTCTGGAAGTTGGACCCGGTACTGGAAACATGACTGTAAAACTGCTGGAAAAGGCAAAGAAGGTGAGGCTCAATGTTTGTTTGTTTGTTTTTATTTTATTTTAGATTAGAAGGTTAGACATTTCAAAAGACAACATGAGTAGAGGTTCAGTTTCCTGTAATACAACGACCCCAAACACAAAGTTTATAAGAATGATCCAGTCAAAGTCTAGATCTAAAGACATTTAAAAGTTGTGTCCTAAATTTGACTGAAATTGTTACGTTTACTCAAAAAAAACAAAGACAAATCACACTCTGTTCCAATAAAACACGAAACATTTATCATATGAGAGGTATTTCATAATGTGGTCTTCCAGGGGTTTGTTTCATCAGTAGAAACCTTCCAGCTGCTGTCTTTGTTGTGCAGGTGGTGGCCTGTGAGTTGGACTGCAGATTGGTTGCTGAGCTTCAGAAACGAGTGCAGTGCACGTGAGTGATGAACGCAGTCTGTGCTGAAGCACATTCGATATAGAGGAGCGTAAAATGAAGCTTAAAGGATCTTTTTTTCTGAACAGGCCTTTGCAGAACAAGCTTCAGATATTAGTCGGCGACGTCCTAAAAACAGATCTCCCTTTCTTTGATGTCTGTGTGGCTAACTTGCCTTACCAGGTAAATACGCTTCATTCCTTTCATAAGGATTTTGTTGTTTTTATCTCTGTGTCACCTTGTTGCTCTCTTGTGCAGATTTCCTCACCGTTTGTCTTCAAGCTCCTTCTTCACCGACCGTTCTTCAGGTCAGACGGAGCGGACTCTCACCAGATGTAGCCATGTTCTTCACACTGGGTGCTAAAGTTCTTCTTTGTGTCCCTCCGCTCAGGTGCGCTGTGCTGATGTTCCAGAGAGAGTTTGCCATGCGGCTGGTTGCTCAACCTGGAGACAAGCTGTACTGCAGGCTGTCTATCAACACACAGCTGCTGGCCCGCGTGGATCACCTCATGAAGGTCAGCAGGGAGACGCTTCAGCTTCATTTACATTTTCATGTACACGGTGTTGGAGGAATCTTTGTGTTGTTCCTCCCAGGTAGGGAAAAACAACTTCCGTCCTCCGCCTAAAGTGGAGTCGAGCGTCGTCAGGATAGAGCCCAAAAATCCTCCTCCTCCTATTAACTTTCAGGTGAACTTCCACTTCCTCTGGTCCGTCCTTTGGTGAATTACTCTGCCTTAAATGTTGCCATTTCTCTCTGTAACAGGAGTGGGACGGTCTGGTGAGAATCGCCTTCGTACGGAAGAACAAAACCCTCAGTGCGGCTTTTAAGTGAGCAACAGCTTGCTAGTAGCAAACCTGCGACTTGTGGCTAAAAGCAGATGATCTTACCTGAATCGTCTTTTTTTTTTTTTTAGGTCTACTGCAGTGGAGCAGATGCTTGAGAAGAACTACAGAATACACTGCTCTCTGCATAACATAGTAAATACAGCAGAAAAAAATGATCCGGCTTCAGTGGAATCATCTGGTCCATCATCTAAATCCATTCCCTCCATCTTTACAGGAAGTTCCAGCTGACTTCAGCATCAGTAAGAAGATCGACGGCGTTCTGCAGGAGGCTAACTTCAACGAGAAGAGGGCCAGGTCCATGGATATCGATGACTTCATGGTGTAAGTTCTCTCATCCTATCCCTTTCTGTTCTTTTGTAAGGACTCCCAAGGCAGTCATTTTGACAGTTCAGAGATTTTTCTGTGGAAGAACTTTTTTTTACATTAATCTTATGTTCACTGAGCTTTTCTGTTTCTTTATTTCCTTTATTTTCACAGTTTTTTTATGAAATAAAAAGCTAAAAAATAAATATGGTTTATTTCACCTCGATCTTCCACAGACGTCATTTTTAACGGATCTATTAGTTGCATTGTAAATTCTTTCTGCGGTTAATTGATCAGTACCGTTACCTAGCAACCAACATTCTAATACAGAAAAATTGATGATGGCGTTTCGGGCGAAGATGAAAGACCGATGATGACAAGCGGTCGGTAGGAAGCGGCCCAGATTCTGACAGCGAGTCTGAGCCGCTAATCTCAGCGCCTTTGGCCTGTAGCTGTCTTTAACAATCTCCTGGACATAGCAACTATAAACACGCTGGATTTGTTCAGGAGCTGTTTGAACGCCGCCGTCTCACGCAGAGATTTTATCCTTTAACTGGTAGAACAGTTGCATGCCAAACGCATACGCTCCAGAGAGCCTCAAGTTACCAACCCCTCAGCTCCAGTAGAGCCAGCTTTGGCGAGGGAATCAGTCGATGACATCATTACTACTCTTGCATTCCAAAGGGAAAAATGTCACCTGTCAAATTGCCTGCCAACAGGATTTCTAGTGTAAAAACAAACACCAAGATCCTTTTTTTGAACTGTGTTTTTTCCTACTCAGGCTGCTGCATGCATTCAACGCTGCAGGAATCCACTTCTCATGAAGAGCAGAACCGTAAATGAATAAAACTAATGGACTCATCTAACATCTTCTACAGATGGTCTACCAAGACATGGATTTCCATAAATGGTGAATGTTTGAATGGAAACTTGCTGCGGCTCATATTGAGCACGGTTTTAAACTGGGTGTATAACGAAGGCATAGAGAGCCCTTTGGTCAGAGGAGAGGAGTAATTTATGGAAAACATGCACCAGCTTTCTCATGTTCCTCAGTTTGAACTCTATTGAAATAAATTCTGCATCAACAACATTTTAATAAAACCGGTCTTTTTTTTGCTGCGTTATTATAGAGAAATGAATCAAACATGTATTAGTGGTTCCTGCACACCATTAAAAAGTATGGAGTTGGATTTAATCCTTTGTGCTAGTTGTGTGGATAACAGTTTTTTTTTTTTTATTTATAGGAAATGATCAAAATCTGAAAATAAACTGGAAATAAAAGCATTTTAAAAAGACTCCAATTTTAACTGGCCCACATGTTTTCTAATTGGAGCCCAAAGCACTGAAAATACCTGCTGCTCAAATGACCTATAATTCTCAGATAATCCTTTCTCGATATTTCTATTTTTGTTCAAATATATGTATAAAACACTTAATACTGTAGCAGGTCTTGACAAGATTTACCAGATGGGTTTTTCTTTGGTGGCTCAAAAAAGATGAAAATAACAGGCTAATAGTTTATAGTCAAAGATCCACTTTCATCTCCCTGATTCAGCAGATCTTATCTCGATGTGGCTAAAGCCAACAGTGAAATACCTTAATGGAAGGGTTTTGGATACAAAGCTGGAGATAAGGTTGCTTTTTTTTTTTTTTTTTATCACCAAGTGGTGCTTAAATATGTCAACTTATAAAAAAAAACACCTAATTTCAAACAAATTTGTTACCAAATAAGTGTCTTAATTTTTTTATTATACAGAAATACAATCTGTTCAATTCAATGTGGACAGATTCAAGGTCAATACATCTATTCATTGTGATTTAGTTTATTTAAACTGATAAAAGACAACCTACTTTTCTAGACCTAAATATCTGTGGAGATTTCAAGTGATTCTACCATTAAAAATAAAATATAAAAATGTGCTATACACATTTGCACACTCTGGTTTTTAACTATGGAATCTGCTCGAAGAAAAGTTGGATGACTGCATGTTTAATAGATGGATGCATAGTTGGTTAGATAACAGATTGATATGTTTAGATAATTTTTCATCCAATTTTATCTTCCTTTCTTTATCAACCTATTAAATTTTAAAATCCATTATCTCCCTAGAACTGGTTCCCTTAGCTAAGACGGTAGATGGCGATAAAGAGTCATGATGGCCCCAACCTGCATGCTGGAAATTTGACCTTATTTAGTTCCATTTCAAAATAAAAGTCCACATAACTGGACATCTATTTACATTTTACACATGGATAGAGTACAAAGTCTCTATAAAAAAAAAAAAAAAAAAGGGAAATCAGACAACTGGATATGTTTAGATGCAAAAAAACTTTTTATTATAATTTGCCATAAAATGTTTCATTTTCTCATGCAGCTTTGGCAAAACTATAATAAAATGTACCAAGACCAGGATAAGTTGTGCGGTACAGACCAGATTCACAAGGTCTGTGTTGATAAGATGGAATTGCTCAGGTTATTTTGAGAACATTTCACAAATCATTCCAATGAAACAGGAGTTTTTATTAAATTTTTTTTTTTTACATCTCCTGCTGCATAACATCCAGTGGAAACTCAAACATGAACCAGTGGCAGGTCAGTGGTTTTCACTATACATCTATTAACAGTTCTTCGTTCCTTTTTTGTAAACACGGGTGGAAAACGGAGTCAGCCGTTGCCACTTGTTTAGAATGTGGCACAGACCAAAGCGAGCTACCGTTTAAATAACCTCTGAGGAGGAACACCAGAAAATAAAGAAAACGATTAGCTCCAATGCTTCTCCCCGACAGACAACTCAGAGCGAAGTAAGAAAGAAAGAAATGGGATGTCACGATGTGAACAGAGGACTCTGAGGCAGAGGTATAGATAAACATGCAGACAAAACACTGGTTTTGTGTTAATCTTTGAAATGAGCTCAATTAGAATCCCTACATAAATCCAGCCAAAAGAACTTCGCTAAAAGTATAAAACAAAAATAATTTAAGTACACAGAACGAAACTAAAAATTCCTCATGGAAAAAAACACCTAAAATATGGAACATTGTCAGAGTTAGAGCAGAGTCAATTCTGTTAGGGAAACAGGAACAAATACCATTTCTAGAGCTTGTTGCCGTGTTAGACAGTCGTTATGTTATTTTCACTGCTGCTGGGGACAGACGGAGTTGTGACGAACATCTAGTGTTTCTGCTCTTCACTGCGCCAACTAAACCTCAGTCTCTAAAGAGCACGCGGCCTCTTGGGGTTGATCTGCTTACTGGCCTGTTCCTCTTCCTGGAGGGCGGAGCGGAATGACTTCACCTTATCTGTATTCAGAGGGGAAAGGATGCCGTCAGTCACCTATTAGATATGGCAGTTATGAGATTTTAAAAAAGGAGTCCCACCTCTGAGTTCAATGAGGATCTCTATTTTCTGGTCAAGAATCTGCTCTAGCTGAGTGGCATAAGACTCCACGTCATAGTCCACCTCTTCGGTCATTTCCAGCAGCACCTTCTCATCCTCCAGCCACTTTATGGATTCCTGCTCAGAGGCACAGAAACATAGCTATCTTAGAAAAGTTTTTTTTTTTATTTTTTATGAGGAAATAAAAGCATGATCAACAGTTAGTTCCCACCTGGAAGACAGCTCTGTGGTCCTCCAGAACCTGCTCCTCCATTTCCACTAACTGAGAAACAGCCTCATGGAAAGTGAAGAGCTGTGGAGAAACTTCCTCTTCCTGCAAACAGATCCGGGATCAGCAGGAGAAACAGACAAAGCATGGTTAGGATTTCCCTACAAACAATAAACATGTTCAGGTCCCCTTTTTGAACCCCTGTGGATGGGAGGTGGCAGACAGTCTTCATTTAACTCCTTAAAAGCACTCTACACCAAAGGAAAGTAACAAGTGATGCTGGACAAATGTTTAATTTTAAGATTTCGATGCTGTTCTAATTTTTCAGATGATGAATTGAACAGTGCTGAGGATTTTTAACCCTTCTTTACAGTATGAAATTTTACTTTTGATATAATAAAAAAAAAACATTAAATTTCACAAATAGGAAAGATGCAACAAATGGAGAGTAGATCCTTTAAGAAGGTGATGATCAGGGAACTGATGCTCTGTTAGTAAATGTTTTAGAAAAAAAATAGGCTTGAAATATTCACCAACAAATGTTTGAGCAACTTCCACCTCTGTCTAAATTATCACATTTAATAAAAACTGATCGTCTCATGGTAAAGTCTCTGCGGGACTTACATTCTGCTCACAGAGCAGTTTGAGGTCGTCCCTCTGTGGGGAGATACTCAGCCATTTCTCATCTAAAATATCCAGCTGGTTGACGGCGTGGATGTTGGCTCTTCCTCCCTCCATCACTTGATTGGGGTCCACTGTGAGCTCCTTCACCCTGTGGAGCATAAAACAGACAATCCTCATCAGGTCCAGAGTGGCTCAGCTATACTCTAAGGACAGCTTCTGGTTGAGGGGAAATATGGAGGCAGTTATGGGCTCATTTACACTTTGCACATTTATATAGATTATAACATCAAAGGCATGCAAGGGTTAAAATAAAGTCTAAATAACATGAGTTATAAAGCCAATTAAAGCATTTATCATGGGGGATTACAACCAGGTGCCTGACCTGTAAGTATGCAATTAATGAAGAGTGTATGTGTTTGTTTGGGGGGGTATCTGCTGAGAGTTGGCCTTAAACAAAACCTCCTCCTGTATGCTTTAACAAAAGCTTCTACCCCAGAGCTAATTCTTAAAGGCTTCATTATCGCATGCAGATGTTACTACTGGCAAAACTGAACAACACAATGTAAAACAAAAAAATAAGCAGGGCGGATGGATGTCAGTCAGGAGTCACTGGGGAGGAAATAAAGATGGAGGGAAAAGAGCAAAACTGCACAAATGCAAAAAGAAAAGGAGAATTATAAAGGTGATGAGTTGATGAGGAGCGGACAGGTGTGATTTTAACGGGAGGAAGAGCATGCAGTATTTGACCTGCTGGGAGAGGTCGCAACAAAGTCATCGAACTCAAAGGTATTTGTTGGCGAGTGCTCAGGGCGATTCCCCTGACCGCCCTGAGAGAAGGGGATGTCTGACGGACTAATTCCAAACTCCTTCACTCTGAGCGGCAGCGCATAAAGGAGCAGAGCGAGGAAGGCAGGAAGGAGAGAGAGAGAGAGAGCAGGAAAGAGGAGGAATAAGAAGGTGTACAAAGAGAGAGGAAGACAAATAAGCAGATCAAAGTGACAGTAGCACTGGACGGATAAGAAAACATCCAGATAATAAAGGTACTCTAGACCAGAGCGTAAATAAAGAAGCTGGAAAGGCTAATCAGCGCATTGGTTCAGATGCTCCCACCTGTTTGCATAGCGCAGGGTGTTGAGCGTGTTTTCACAGGAGGTCATTCCAGGAGAGATTGTTGCAATCTGGGGTCATATGGCACATTTAGATTCAAGGGATTATTAGAAATGTCTACATGGATTTCTCATGTAGAGGATAAACTGACCATGCATGTGCGAGAGTTCTCCCCAATGAAGGAGTCCCTCAGGACCTGTGTGAGCTTGCTGGCTCTAAAAGGAGTGTGGGGTTTGTTACGACCAAGAGCTCGGATACATTCCTGAAACAAAACACAGAAAATGAGCAAACAATAGAGAGAGAAAAAAAAAAAAACAGTATCCTTTATCAAATTCATCATCACCTTCAGAGCCAGCAGGCTTTTGTTTATCTCGGCTCCTTCCATGCGCGTCTGCCGGTCGGCACTTGAAGTGTCTGCGCCTCTTTCGTTCCCTGCCAGGTCGATAAGGGAGAACTTCCCATGCATCTTCCCCTTCCTCCGTAGGATGATCTGGAACACAGCGTGGCTCCGGGATGAGTGTGCATTGGCTGATGTCTGCCCAGATGTCCTAGGAGGAAAGAATGAGGGGATAAACACCAGATCAGCTGTCAGGAAGTAAACCAAGGAAATGTTTCCTGTGCAGCTCCTTGCAAAGTTTAATCTTTCAATATGATAAAATCGGGGATTGAAGGATTTATTTTATAGACCAATATAGAGATGTACAGAACTCTGAGGTAGAGTTCGAATCACACTGGAGTTCAAACTTTTAACAACCAGAAAGACACAACCAGTAAACTCCATCTTTCTCCTTTATTCAGCTCCTGATGTCCTTTAACCCTGAAATCATACATCCTCCGCAATCGCCCTGCTCTGTGTCAAACAGCCTGCACAAAGCAAAGCCTACAGCCTCCATGGTTCCTCCGTCTTTCTCTGCTCCGAGTTCCTTGGAGCTTGAGTCGAGCATGCACGAAATAATTATTATTAGTTATTTCATAGGAACACAATGCGAGGTAATAAACGATTAATAAAACATAATAAAAAAAATCTGTGGGAACAGTTTTCATTGACTGAGCAAGGAGGACACAATACTCCGCAGGACGTATGGGAGCTGAGCGGCGACGGAGGAATGTGGAATCTGGGTGTAAGGGAACATCTTTACCATGTAATCCCAGCTTGACATCGAACTCCAGCACATTTTACTCTGCTAAATATTTCAAGCTCAGTACTGATGGGAGGGAAAATATCTTGCCACAGCTTATAGATTAGACATTTGTCTTGATCATTTCATCCCTTAAAAGGTGTAGTGGGGGATTTTGTTTTCTGGGTTGATCATCAAAATAAGTGGTCCTCCTAACCGCCAATCATTCAGGTGATATGTTTATGTGTGGCCATCCTACGTGCTCTTCCCGTTAGCTATCTTTTTCTGCACACGTGCAGTTATGTGTTGAGTTACAGTTTTAGCCAGTCACTGAAGTTCGACTTTCTCACTGCGGTTCTTTGAAAATGGCCACGGTTTGTTAGAGGAAAAAAAAGGCCACAGAAGAGAGAAACAAAACCAGAGTGATTTTGGGAGTTTCTTTCACAAAATAGGGTACACTGAAAGCACAGGTGGGGCTTCCCACTGATGCCTCCGTTGCAAAGTTTCTACTAGACGGGTAAAGTTTGGCATGCTATTAGGAGAAATCTATTTCACATCGCTGCTATTGGTTTTATCTTCCTCTTTATTTTAACTTTCCTGGGAAGATAAGATTAGTAATTTGGTAATTTGCATCGTTAGTAATTAAACGGTGTCCACCGATCCTCATTTACCCTGCAAAAATTTTAACATTTTCCACTGCAGCACAGTAGTCTTATTTGCAGGGACATTTTTTATATATAAATATGGGTGTGATGAGATCCATCCGAGCAACAGTCTTATCATTCATTGCGTCCCCGTAGCTTGAGGAGAAATGGGCTTGTGCATGCTTCAGCACGCATTTAATAGGGGTTCCTTCTCAGGAGCAGGTAAAAGGTTTTGCATGTGCATTTTTTTTTTCCAAGTGGAGAGGGCTGGTCTTTTAAAAAATTGGTGAAAATCCTCCTCAATACATTCAATATACTTTCATTTAAACTATTTTATTGTAGCTCAGACTGTTTAGGTTTGTTCTGCTGAAAGGCTGACCGTCCAACAGAATTGTATCTACTGCCGTAGATCTTCATAATTATTTGCCGCTTCTATTTTTTCCTGAAGGAAAGAATCACTATAGCATCATACTGCCATGTTTCTCAGTAGGATTCCTCTTTTATGGCCGTTTCAACAATAGTTTCTGTTTCTTCCTACCGTCTCAGCAGCCTATAAAGATGTATAATTTTGCTAAAAATCTCAATTTCATTTAGTTTGATTTTTTACCCAAAATCTAATAATTTTTTTTAATCCTCTGCACTAACAATACCCATCAAATTTAGATATACATGTTTGTAGGCGAGGTCGAAAAGGAAACATGAATATCTTTAATTAAAGAATCACCTCATGAGTTAAACATTGGTACTTGTTGAAAATAAAGTGCAAAGTGCAGCTAAAAAACAGGCTTTCATTGTTTTCATGGCCTTGAATGCTCTCTTGTTCGCAGTCCATTGCTGTGGGATTTAACGGTTGTGTGGAAAAATCCTTCTAGCTCACATGCATGGATCTGAATGAGCTGCAGATCTCTATACCCTTATTTAAGTGTAAATGATAAATGATGCAGCTCACTCACCGAATGCAACATGACCAAAATGGGAGTACCATTTGAAAAACCTGGATTTTTAAAAACGTATGTAAAAATGTATTAAAATGTGGTTAATTATTTAGTTCTGCAATCAATTCTAGATCGTCTTCGATCAAAAACTCCAAAACCTCTGAACTTGACTTATAAGGGAGAGTGGTTGCAGTGGAAGTGCTGAACAAAAGTAAAGGTGTATAAATGCATACTCATGTTAATCAAGAATAAAATGAAACCAGTAATGGGTCATATTTCCAAATAAATGTCTGATTTAAAAATATGTTGGTCTATCAAATAGAATCTGATCAAATGCAATGAGTTTATGGCTACAAACAAACCCAAAGAAGAACAATTTACATTGAGAAGAAGAAAAGCTACAGAAACATTTGTCCATTTACTGAAAGGTTAACAACTCAGTCATACCTGCAGCTGTTTCCAACTTCGATCAGTTTAAGGACATCTTCGGTGCATTTGACTTCCTTCTCTTGCAGGCCCACCACCTGCACCTGCTGCTTCCCGTCCTCCAGAACCCTCAGCTTAGCTTTGCGATTCAGCAGATCAAACACCTGGAAATTCAAATAAAAAAGAGTCAGCTCCCTGCATCCAGCGTCTAGCTAGCTAACTGCGTAGCTCTTACTTTCCCACTGTAGATTTCAAAAAAGGTTGCATAAACTTGGAGATCTAATTTCTTATAGTTGGGTTTCTTCAGCATCAGGAACACGTCCCGGGCTGCAGAAAAAGACAAACAAAATCTACCGTTTAAACTCTTAAACAAGTCCACTCATTTCAAATTGGTTTTATTTATCAAACTAGTAAATTGAAGTGAACTTAATGTTTACCAGCTAATGCATAAATTCCTTTAGAGCAGTCTTGGTTTTTCCCAGAGAAGTCTCCTCCCATAGTCTGAAATACAGTGAACATTTAAAATAATGTAAGAATAATGAAATACGAGCAACGTTCATACAAAAAAACATTTAATTTTTCAACAGTTCCCGGATGTATTAAACTCACGTGTGTTTTACCGCTGCCGGTCTGACCATAAGCAAAGCAGGTGGCCATCCCCCTCTCAAAAATGGTCTCCACTAAAGGTCTGGCAGTAAACCTTCAGGTTGAGAGACGGCACAGAATCATAAGCTCATATGCAAACACAGGATGTTTTTTTATCAAAGGAGATGTTAAACATTATCCTGGTTTGTCCACATTTACTAACCTGTAAACCATCTCATTGCTCGTGCTGTCATCGAAGGCATAGTCGAAGCGGAACGTCTGGTTCTCCAAGTAGCGGGTGAGGTCTACTTTCTGTTTGGGTTCATGCACCATCACTACATCTTTACTGGGGATGGTGATCACATCTAGATCTTTAATTGTCAGTTCTGGAACCCAGCAGAGGATAGAATCAGTTTGCAGAAACATAATAGGACCGTTTTTACTTTTGGTCTGGTCAATTTTACTAAAATAAATAAATTAGAAAATACAGCAAATAATTGTTTTCATCCTGCCTAAAAATATAAATAATAAAGATAGACTTTGACTAGGCTATTCTAACATTAAGCTAGAAGGTCATACTCAATTTTGGCTTGTCACTTCATATTAAAATTAAATGTTAAAGTTCTCCATATGTATTAATAGTTTTGTAAGGCAGAGCATACAGTAACGATTGTGTGCCACAAAAACTCATCATTACCTTTTTTGTTGAGAGGACGCTTCCTCACACAAACACATATTCTGTGCTCTTCAATCTAGACAGTGCAAAGCATAATGAATAACAACAACATCCTGAGATTTTCAAAACAAAAGAGGAAACTCCTGCTCACCACGTCAGCAGTGGTAAGAGGCCGGTAATCCAGACTCGCCCGGAAATCTCGAATCATGTACAAGATCTCATAGTTAGGGATAGTGGTGTCCACCTCCTTGGGAACAAAAAAACAAAAAATTTATATAAATTAGATGTTAAACAAATAAAAACCATACATATCAAATGGCCATGTTTATACTGCTGCACCTGAGCTCTTTTCTCTCTGAGCTCCTGCTGTTGGAGTCGACGTCTTTCTCTTTTCTCCTGCAGTTTCTCTACTTCCTTCACACAGTTCGACTTCCTTCTCGCTGCCATTAAGAAAGAAGAACAGCAATACCTCAGATTTTACAAGGGTTTAAGCAATATCTTGCTTGTTTTGCTTTCTCTAATACTGCTGACGTTCCCAAAATAAAAAAGGGAAAACCTAAAAGCTGGACAGCAATAAAGCTGCGGCTGGCACCACCGAAAACACTAGCTGCTTTCTCTTCCTAGCCAACAAAAGGCCTTTAGAGAGAGTCCAAAGCCTGCTCATATTACAGCTTCCTTTAATCTGTTCCAGCAGACACAACAGAACTGGGAACAACATGAAGAATTAGGTTTTAATGTTGCATTTCTTTAGGATTACTTCAGTTAAATGAGATTGTCTCAACAAACCAGTGATCCAACCCAGTGTTAAGCTCCCAGCACAGCACACCCAGTGGTTAGTGTTGCAACTGATCAGTCAGAATGATTAGTAACCAAAAGCAGAGCAAAAGCAAGTAAAGATCATCTCAGATCCCAAAAAAACTGATTAAGATTATCCGGTTGGCCGCTGCATCCCCTGTCTCAAAACCTAAACTACCAGAGCAAGAGGATTAATAATCTGCTCTAATCTGGGAGAAGATGATGAGCTGGGTCCGAACCAGGAAAAGAAAGCTTGAGAGAATGGCAGCGTCATCCCTCGGACCAATGGAGAGGGGAAGCGAGGAGGCTTTGTCTTCTTCTATCAATCTGATAATTTTCTCTGAGGCAACTCTTGCTGTCTGAGAACCACTAAGAACCAGCAGCTTCTCCATGTGTGACTCAGCATTAAGCCAGTGGCCAAAGGCAGCAAAGCCAAACAGCAGCCGTCATGTCCTGGTTTTGCTCCCAAATACCCAGAAAGCTTAACTGATGTGTGGATTGGGTCGTGCTGCATCATCTCCACACCACAGGTTTGAACACAATAGTGGGTCTAGGACTCTCACATTCTAACAGGAAACCGTACAGAACCACCACAAAGCACTGAGGTCAGGGGTAACAGGCAGGCGATACATACAAAGCTGTCCAAACTCCTTTCTGGACATCAGCTGAAGTGAGGATTCTGTGATAAATATGATCAACAAAATAAGCCTTTTTTTTCCACATTCCATGTCTATTAATACATTAGAAAGTGACAAATGTTTTAAAAACTGATTCACAAAACAGAACAAAAATACAGATACAACATGTTTAATTGACAAAATAGTATAAGAATTTATTATTTCCAGGAAAAATGTTAGAAATGAACTGAAAACAATGAATTCCTGCTGATAAGATGATATTATAGCTATGCTGAAGGAAAAGAAAAAATGTTCTGATCCATTTACCGTTCTGCTGTTGCTGTTGTGTCTGAGGCTGAGTAGGCTGTTGGACTGGAGGAGGTGGAGCAGGTTCTGGTTGCTGGGGAGCTCTGGCCCGGGTTGGAATTGCTAAGAAAACAAAGTCACTTCATGTAAAAATCATATAAATAATCCAAAATTCATATTGTGTAACTAGAGAAGCTGCTATTTGCCAGTGGTCTAAATCAAGCAATATTCTGAGCTAAGATATGGCTCTTCACCCAGGAGGCCACAGTCTTAAAGTCAGCAAGAATACATTTGTAAAACCTTTTTTTTTTAAAATTAGAATAAATAAAAGCTGTTGGGGTGCCAAACTAGTGCATCTAGGACATCGTCAACCATCACCATAAACCTTAATATAGGTTTACCTGTTTATCCGTTTTATCTAGTTTATAAGATTATTCCCAACAGGCTATATGTTTTTTTTTATTTTTATTTGTGGCTATATTATGGGCTCTATTAAGTGTTCTTAAGAAATTTGGCCTACTTTAGAATATAAAAAGCATAATATCTCCAGATGCATTAAACCCTTTTTCATTTTTAAAAACTGTAAATTTGTTTTTGGGGGTTCTAAGGACCTCCTTGGAGTATGTGTTGGGAGCAGAAGAAGCAACAACCTCTGCTGATCCCACATGTGTATACGATGATATTCACAGTTTAATATCATCTGAAGCAAACCTCTGTTATCCTTGGATGGAGCATCATTTTTAGGAGGTGCTATTGTGCGTCGGTTCTGTAAGGAAAAAAGAAGGAAAAACATATTGAGTAAAATGAGAAACTGATGAAACAAACTTCAGGAGTGAAGATTAGTTTATAACATAACTTCTCTTTTGTTGGTTGAAATGACTACAGCACTGCAACCACCTTAGTCAGCCAAACAAACCAAAGAATAACCTGGATCTGATTTCATCCTGAAGAAATTATTATTTCTGATTTAAAAACAATAATAATCTGGTTTCATTGTGACATGAAACTGGACTTCAGTAATCCAAATACAGATTATACTAAAATGATCTCAATAACATTTGGACTTTCACAACCAAGTGTTGTTTGGCGGTGCTGATATTTTAAAGAGAGTATTTTATGAGAAAACATTTGGGTCAAAAATAAGTAGTGCTTGGAAATCTGGATTTGAAAATAATGCTGGTGCAGAGTGAAATCAGAAGGTCAAACTTGGCTGCTAATCATTCAACGAAAAAATAAAATAAAAAAATGAATGGGACCTATTAGATTTTGGTCCCAAAGGATCTACTTCTGGTCGATGCAGAGACCTTTTTTGTCCATTTCCTTGCTATGTCATATTTATCCAAAACATTGATTCAGGATAAAAATCCAACCCATTTCTTTAGAAAACTACATGGCTGTATGGATCCCTGCAGGCAATTTATCTGGAGCAAAACTCTTAACAAGTTCCAAAACAAAACAGATTAAAAAAGCAGAAACACTTGTAATATGATATTTAGTCAATCTAAACAATGCATTGTTTTAATTGATAATATGTCTTATGAGTGTAACCATAGGGAAACCCTATAAGCTATAATGGTTGACCACATAGCAGACAGAAGCTGGCCTAACCTAATCTCCATACTGTAAACTGTGTCAAAGTTTGTTTGTCCCCCCCCCCCCTCAGTTGGCATCACCTTTGCAATTTTGCTGACTTTCACTAATGAGGGTGTTGGAGGGGGCGGAGTCTCTGGGCTGGGGGCTATCTCCTCATCTGGTGCTACATCCGGATTAAGTGAAAAAATACTCTCCAAATCGATCTGCAAAACAAAGATAAATAAATTAATCCTTGGTTAATCCGTGTCAATAAGTGCACCTATAGTTCATATGTTAACTATGAAATAAAACTTAAATAAAATATAAAAAACAAAACATGATTTGATTGAGTTTAAATCATAAAACACCAATTACAGGATAAAAGGCTAGAAGTGGATCTTAAGTCTCTGTTATCCAACCTTCTTAGTGCGCAGAAAAAAATAAATGCTTTTAAATATTTTTAGATGACTTTAGATTTATATTAAAATGCATCTTGAAGGCTTCTGTTAGCAAAGTAAAGAGAATATAAAAGGAAAAATCAACTTTCTTAAACTTTATTTGATATAATTGAACTTTCATTGCCAGAATTCTACTGATCAAACAGCAGATTCTGTGAACATTCAGTTTCCAATAAACATTGCCATTACATGTCAAACACAAAATAAAACCCAGATACAGTTGTCTCTGTAAAAAAAACAAGCCCTGCTGGTTTACATACAGAAGGTGATTTCTGGTGGGACTTCAGGACATGCAAAGCATGTTTCATAATCATGGCATCACTGGAATGCGTCAGGATGCATTATTCATTGCAATGGAAAGTAACAGTGTGTGTTTCTGCATGGGATGACGTCCTGAAAGGCAATAAATGGCAGGTAAAATGCGGTTTTTACCTCTTTCCCTTTTGTGTCCCCGTTCTCTATCCATTCCACTGTGACACTCTCATTGTCCTCATTCATAGATGTGACCATAGCCTGATGGATACGCCCTGTAAAACAAATAAAAACACAAGGCAAAGCCAGGTTTGAGTCAGGTTTGCAGGATATCTCCAAAGATTAAACACAGCTTCTTCTTTTAGATCCCAAACTAGTCTGAGACACAAAGGCACACAGATGGCTACATTTTCACTGCATTGTGACGAACGACCCGATCAACGTACATTTGTTCAGATACCTTTCGCTCACTTTCTCTTTTACTGCTATGAAAATCAATTGAACAAACAAATAAACTTAAGCTATAGGTGGTGAAATATCTGGTTTTAAAATCGAAGGTAACGACTTGAATCTCTTGCGATCATAAAAACACGAAAATTAAATTATGTTTAAATCAGGGCTGAGACAATTAATCAGATTAATTGGTTATTGGAATAATCAACTAATTTAGTAAGCGATTAATCGTTAACTGGAGGGTAGAGATTGTAAAACATGCCTTTAGCAGACAGAGCAACACAGGAGAGCAGCGGTCCCCTGATTTCCAGAAAAATCTAACAAACAAGAGGAAATATGGAGGCAGAAGGGGAAACCAACCTAATAGTCTCTGAAAAGTTTAATAATGATTTCAAACCTAATGCACTGCAGTGGGATGCGTTTTCTGTGCGAGCCACTGTCATGTGAGAGCAGGAAAACAAGCTGAGGCTAATTTCAGTGCTCCAAACTTATGAGCTCTGATGAACAACAATTAGAGTCGCAGATAACAGAGACAAGAAGACAGCTGCTGCTGAAAGGCCGCAGGCGTCTGTCCGCCCCTCTGGCTGCAGTGTAAACCAACAGCTGGAAGGAGCTTCGCCTCTGGATTGGAGGCCATGCTGTAAGCTCCTCTCACAACGCAGAGAGAAACACCATGTTCCAGTATTCATTATTTAGAGAAAGCATCAGAATTTTCCAAGCTAAAATGTTTTTTGTGTTCTTTTGTAGATACGAGTAGTTTTACCCTCGTATTTCCAACACAGGAGATAAACTGATCTACTCGTGATCCTTTATTTCCGCTTACTGGAAAGTAGTTCTGCATTTTTTTTCCAACCACAGGTTCTACCTTAAATTTTATTGTCACTTATCCATCCTGAAAAACGCTGACATGTTTCTTTCCATCTCTGCTTGGAATACTTTTTCACATGAACAAAAAAAGAAAATCATCCTTAAACTCTGCCAACTGTTCGTTTCAAATATAATGATTAATAGGAAAGTTTTTTTTTTTGTATAAGTAAAACCTAAAGCTCATAGTAGAAACAGACATGGCATCATAAAGTTCAACTGTCAGAAAGGACAATGATTTTCCAAAATGCTGAAATGATCACAGATTTAAAGTACTCTGAATCCTCTATAAAGACATTGATCAGTCATCCTTTTATTGAGGCAACTTACAGGAAGTGGGAAACTAGAAATCCTGGGTTGGCGTCACTCCAGTGGCTTCCTGTCTGTTACAGGATTGATTATGACTTTATTGTTGTGTTGAAGGTTCCTAACTGTCTGACTCCATCTTATCTGCAGGATCTTTAACACCACCAAGTTCAACCAAGAACACTAAGGTCAAACAACCAGATCCTTTCAGCTGCTCCCATTGAAGGTTGATGGAGAAGCTCAAAGAACAACCTTTACATCTTAGCATTTTATCCATCTATTCATCTCAGTTTATTTTATGAAATTATTTAGCTTCCTTCCTTATCTCCACTTAATGGTTACGATATATGTATTTCATTGATCCCAGGTGTGCACCGTTTTAGTATAACTGCTCTATAGCTAAAACACTTAAATACTCTAAAAGCTGCTTATAATCTGGCAGGCAGTTATTCTAATCCATGAGACTTGTATGTCTTCTGTTGCCAGAATCTAAATTACTGCACCAGGTTTGAGATATTTCTATTTGCCAAGTTTGTCTGGAGGAGGAAGGATGAGCCGCCATAAATTTCAAGAGTTTACCCCCAATGATCAGTCCATGAGGTGCCTGAAAAAAAAATACTGAAACAAAACTAAAAGATGAAATCAGCTTTGTAATCTTATTTGGCCCGTGTCTTGTCAAAGCTGCTTTAAACAAGAATGTATTTATTCTCTCCCTCCATGTATCACTCAACATATGTAATACGTTAAATACACGATTTTACTCCTCAGATTAGCTAGAAAGGTTTTTGCAAATTAATCGAATTTCATATTAAAACCTGGTCTCTGTCAAAAATACAAAATTAAAGACTTACTTGTATAAAAAAGGAAAAAAAATAAGACAACAATGGACCCCAGAAGCCTGTCTAACCCATTATTTCTGACCTTTGAAGTCTTTAATTTTTCTGCTCTGAAAACGTCGAAGCTCTGCACCAACATCTGTATCGGCCCACGTTTGTCACTGGTATCCGTCCCATGTCTAAAACTGGGCCCATGATGACAACCATCTTATTGCCGTCTATGTAATAGCAGATTATCAAAACCAACCCAAATTGTCATCTGTTTTATTATTACAAGGTATAAACAGCCTATAATATACCAAAGTCAAAGGCTACTAATAACCAAGCTCATTATTTATATTAAAAACTGCATCCAGTGCAGCAGCTGTCAGAGCTGCAGCCTGCAACTAACCAACCCGCTCGCTTTTGCTTGTTAATACAACAGATTGCTGGAGCCTATGCCTGGGTAACTCAATTCCAAAATCAACAGGCAACAAGCCTTAGTTTAGTCTGGAGATTTTGTTTGTGTTACTTAATGCCTAAACATCTATACAAGTAAGAAGAGCTGTCTTTTCTCACCCTGTCCTGCAACATCTTCATTTTGCTCTTCATTTTTCTCATCAAGTAGACCTACTGCTTCAGCCATCTTAAATGTGCGTGCCTGTGTTTAAGATGTCATATTGCTTTAATTTATTTAACTTAATAAAACAGCAAAGAACAAATTCCAATACAAATATTTTGAGAAAAACAAACACCCATATTAGAATATAACACATAAAATGACTTAGAAAAGGGGTTGTAAAGTGTTTAATCTAATAACACCTTTGTGATGTCACTAAATGCTGTACTGCTTTATTATTCATCTTGTTACCATGTGAACAGGTTTCAAGCGCACAGCATATGCTCTTTGACCGACACTGTACACCTACATGCTCCAGAGACAAGGCTCAGAGGCAGTCCAGTGGGAGTTTGAAAGTTCTTGACTAGGGCTTAAGTAATTTGGTAAGAATCAAAATTTAGATTATTTTCAACCAATATTGAAATTTCAATTTTATTGCCATTTTCCTTTGCACTAAAGACAAACATGTCAACGTTTTATTCCAGGGTTTCAGTTTTTTCACGACCTTGAAAGCATTCTTGTCCAGAGTTGAAAAATTTCTTACTTCTTCTATAATGCATAGATCTAGGAATGGGTTAAAGGTTTGTTTGTTTTTTTTCCTATAAGTTTTCCTTCATTCAGTTATTTTTTTTTTATATCAAATGTTTAATAGTCCTTATTCCTACTCTGTATAACTACTGTAAAACATCTTTGCTTTAACAACATGACATGGATTTCCATTTTCAGAGTGTTAGTGTGTTTTAGAAGAATATGTTCTAAGGTGGAACATGGACTCATCCATGTTCCACCTTAGAACTGGATTAAGAAAAACAACATCTCTTCCAGGAAACAAAAGAACTTCATCACCAGGCACTACAGCCGTCAATCAGTGCCAGACAGACAGAATTTTGATGAGCCCAGTGGTACCAGTTACAATCAACACTGAACATGTACCTGCTGCACTCATTTCAACAAAAGGTGGGAAAAAGTTCCCATCTCTCTGTAGCGAGAGAAAGAAACATCTCTCAAGTAAACTCTGCAAGTTCATGTAGGTGATTTAGTTGGTCCTGTGAGAACACATGATTTATAAACAATAATTGTTAAACCCACCACTGCATCAAGGTGTAATAAACAACAAAAGAAGCATTTAGAAGAAGCGAGCATGTACAGTAAGCTTTAATTATTACAACAAATGGACTTCCAGTTATTTTTTCGAATAATCATTGCACAACCAGCTTAAGAAGATTTTTTACTAAATAAAACCATTTTTTACTAACTAAAATGTTTCCACTTGACGGGTTATGGATTGAAGTTATTTTTATTTTTTTTATCTTAAATGCAAAATGTTTAAATATTTTTTTAAATTTTTATATAATTATGGGTTGCTCTGTCGACTAAAGGCATGTTTTACAATCTCTATACTAAAATAGTTGATAATCGGTTAATCACGATTAATTGTTTCAGCTCTATGTCATATACAAGGCATTTATTCATTCCTTGGTTATCAAAGTCAAATGGACTTAACACTGTACATCTCAAACTTTTTTACTTCACTTGAGCTGTTTATTTGAGAGGAATAACAATAGAAGAGAAGTGGCAGCCTACTGGTTAGAGCATAGAGCTTGGAATCCTGAGGTTCTGAGTTTGAACCCCACTCCTGCAGACTGCAACGCTGGCTGTCTGAGCAAGACCCTTAACCCCCGACTGCACCCCATGATGGCAGCCCACTGCTCCCCAAATGGGTTAAATGCAGAAGTAAATTTCTCCAATGTGAGATCAATAAAGTTCAATTATTATTATTAGACCTCAAAATGCTTAAAAATCTATGTGGGAATTTATCAGCCATCTCTTCCACTAAAGCTAGCTGATCACCTCAGAACTTAATAACAAATCTCCCTGTTTACTGTTGATAGTTGTCATTTACTGTTCAATTCTGCTGCTTTTGGAAAAATTAGCACACACGTATTTAGAGCAAACTGATTGTTGTGTCACTATTAAACAGTGGTGTTAAACGTACACACATTTGTTACTTAAGTAGAAGTATACCGTTACTTAAGTAGAAGTATACCGTAGTTTAAAAACACTCTGGAAAAAGTTGAAGTATCAACTTGACTCTTTACTCAAGTAAAAGTGAAAAACAATGTGCTCCAAAAAAGACAGCAAGAATAAAGTAACCTTAAAGAAAATAATTAAAAATAAAATAAATAAAAGACCAGATGCCACTATATGAATTGAAAGCTCAATTTTTCGACTATTTCAAAAAATCCGTCTCCCAATACACGCATGTGTCCGACCTTTCAGACATTTCAACATCTTTTTCTGAATCCGATATTGTAGCATGGCTTAGACAATGAAGAACACCTCTTTGCCACTGATGATTTCCTTTAGCTAACCAATGAGTGTTTGCGTTATACGACTCATCCAATTACACCAGATAAAACCGAAGCCAAGAGTAACAAGTAATGTTTGTTTTAAAAATGTAAGGAATAGGAAGAACAGATACTTGTGTGAAAATGTAATGAGTGAGGGTCAGAAGAAAAATAAATAATGAAGTAAAGTATTGATACCTAAAAAGTGTACTTAAGTACAGGAACCAAGTATTTGTACTTAACTATTAAATAACATAATTTTATCAACAATATGATGAAGAATCACTAACCTGACACCCATAAACTTTAAGTTATTATGATTCAGTAACCCCAATTGCTTATGATATATATATATATATATATATATATATATATATATATATATA